TTATTAAATTTAATAATGGTCAAAATGACGTTCCAACGTTGTTTTGGCTCAAGTTTCGAAGAAGATTGTGTATATTAGTGTTGGATATTTTTTTTCTTTTTTCCCTGAATTGCATGTATCGGCCTTTTCAAGTATCGCTGATAGGAGGCAATGAGGCAGCTATTGCCTAATTAATGATATTGCTCGGTGGGAGGCGTAGGGGGCATGGAAACCAGGAGCTGATTTGGCTTCACCAAGTACCGACATGCGCAAAAGACATATTCCGCCTTCTCAGAAAGACGACCATGACCATAAGCATAAAAGTAAGTCAATACCAATCATATATTGATTTAAATATAAAAAATTTAATTTTTTAAAATAAAATTTTAAATTTAAATTTTATAAATAAAAGGAAACATTAAATTTTTTTTATAAAATATGATATAACTTGATTTTAAATAAATTTAATTTAATATAATTTTTAGATATTAAAATTTTATTATAAAAAATAATAAACCAAGTCAATAATGAGTCTTCGGCCATCGGCCTTGACCCACCTCATGCTGTACAAATATAAAGCAAGGCAACAGATAGTCTTAGGCCATCGGCCCTGACCCACCTCTTGCTGTACAAAACTACAAATATAAAGCAAGTCAATAGTCTTCGGCCTTGACCCACCCTGCTGTCATTAACGAGTCAATGACGAGTCTTAGGCCCTCACCGACCTTACTTACTAAAACACCAAAAAGGACCTTTTTATCACGAATTAATGAGTGCCTAATGTAAGCTGCACAAGAAGGGTTGATTTGTAATTATATATACAATGAATTAAGGGTTAATTTGTGTCTATTTTTAGTTGTGAAGTTGATTTGTTACCTTTCAATAAATACGGGGTTAATTTGCCCTTTTGCCTTAACAAAAAATATAAAAATGACATAGTTGCTTTTTTATTTTTAATATAAAAAGGAAAAGAAAGTAGAGAAATGGCTCCAAGTTGTCCCAAAGATTAATGTAGTTAGTTTACTGTATTTACTATTTCAAAAATTTTAAATTAGAGTTAAAAGGGTTCGTATTTGAGAGTTTTTTACATAACAATATTTTTAATAATACTATATTTTAAAATATAAATTTATTATAAATAATTAATTTTAATTAATATTTTATATATTTTTATAATTAAAAAAAAACTAAAATTACAACAAAATTCAATTCAACTCAACACAACACAACACCACACTCCCAATCAAGGCCAAAGTTATATATATTTTGAAACTTTTCATATAGTTTTTAAGTAAAAAATTAATTCAACTAAATTCTATTAACTGAAAACATGGTGCAGTCCTAGGAGTTTTAATAAAAAAAACCTAAAAAGCACTTTATTTTTTTTTTGGTATTAACCTTCTGGTATTCAGAAATCACATTGGGCCTTGACTAATCCGGAATCGAGCCGGGTCGGACTCCATATGGGGGGAAGCTCTCCCAGCACCTGTTTTTTCATTCACAAGACTCGAATTCGAGATCTTGCTTAAAGGGAATCGAGTTCCTTCCACTTGGACAAATAAATCGTTGGTCTAAAAAGCACTTTATTAAGTAAATAGAATAAAAAAATCTTTTTATTAAAGTAAAGAACGCGCTTAAGACAATTGTCTAATTATAGTCTTCAAGCTGCTATTTTACAATACTTGGAAGACACGGAATATTTTGATTTGAAAAAGTTGATCTCCTTTACTTGGAAAATATTCAATTAATACATATGTTTGGAAAAGTTTCTTTAACCCCAAATCCAAAACCACATCATGGTGCAGGGTTCAGGATGTGGATATAATCATTTATAAATATGTTAAAGTTACATATAAATTATTATATGTGAATTTAATTTTATTAATATTTTATTAATAGATAACTTTTATAAATAATTAGTTATAGTATTTGGAAATACGAGTTTATAAATTAATTTTAATTTATTCAATAATAAATATTGATTTTTTTTATCAACTATTAACTATTTTAATAACTTAATCAAATAAAATTAATATAATTTGTATAGCTTTAACACAATTTTGTATTACCATGACCACGCCCCATGATTCGTGGTTCATGGTTCATTGATCCACCGCGTGTTGTCCATGGAGTATTTTTTTATAAAAGAAAAGACTCGGTAATTCTCTTTAGTTTGATGTTTTCCGAATCACACACTAAGCTATCTTTATTTGACTGACTAAAAATTCGATTTCTTTAATAAGTTTTTCTAAATTATGTGGTTATCGTACATCTATGTAATTAAATAATTAATAAATTAAAATTTAATTTTTATGTTATTTATAAATTAATTATTAAAAAATATATTAATTATACATTTATAACACAATCTAAAAAAAATTCTATTTTAATTAATCCAGACACGTATTTTAAAAAAAAAAAAAGAAGTTCAAACACATGACTATGTGTGGTTTTTTCTTTTTTATTTTTTATTTTTTATTTTTTATTTTTTGTAAATAAAGTATTATATTAGACCAAAGAATAAGTTCAACTTATACGAAGAAATTCAAAACCCATAATGTCAGCAAAACAATTGCCAGCAATACAAAACTATTTAACTGAATGTGGGGTATACAATCAAAGACAACAAAAACTGGGTCAGGGATTCCAATTTTCCTGATCCAATATTGCTACACATCAAGTCGTTCTTTTTTCTACGTAAGTTGTTTCAGCAACAGAATGTTTACTGTTTAGTATTAATTATAAAAGTCAATGCATAGACATTTCAGAATTTATTCCTTTTTTATTTTAGATAATATAATAAAAAATAAATCTCTCTCATCTATTAACCTATATCAACTCACATGTAATTTGATTTGAATTCAAAATCACAAATTTTTACTAAAAAAATTATCATTAAATTATTTAAATAATTGATAAATATTTATAAAATTAGTTAAGTATTTATAATCTACAGCGGAGTTTTGTCTTTTGTAGCACATGGACCACAGGAGCAAGTCCAAAGTCAACCAAATTAATAAAGATAAGGGCAACTTCTCATATGTGGAAAATTTTATTATTTAATTGTCAACATTCAAGAAAAAGGAAAGAGCCTCTATTACCCCACAAAATTCAGCCTCCTTAGAAATTAAGGTGGAAGTAGCTTGTAATTCAAGCGGACGACCAGGTTTACTATGTATTAAGCAATTCAATAAGGAAGGTCATTTGCACTTAAAAGGAGTTGTGGTGGTTTAGTTGGTAATATAATTTTTTAATAATTTTTTTATTAAGATTTAACTTTTTTTAAAAATTAATAAGAAGATAATTTTTATAAATTTTTTAATTTTAATGTCCATTACCTATCTTTAATTGGACTTCAAACTGAAATCTTAACATAAATGATATATTTTTAATTAAATTAAAAAAAATTAGCCTCAAAACGCACACATATTAGTCTAAAAATACCTTGTGCTCACTAAAAAAAAAAAAAAAGGAAAGGTAATTGGCCATGAACCACCACCTTGCTGCCTATATATATAATACGTAATACAACTCTGTCTCTGCTTATTAGAAAAATAAAAACACAAGATTTCGGGCACAAAATTATGCAAATGAAAGGTTACAACCTTATTTCGGTTATTCTACTTTAATAAAAAGTTTTTTTTAATCCATCTATCTAAAAAAAAAAAACCCCTTATATTTAGTTTCTAAAGTTTATTATCCAGTCATTTTTTAGTATTTCTGTTACTTTTTGCATACATAATATATTAAATGATGAAAATTTAAAA